GTTTTGATCTCTGTAATTAAGAGTCTCATGTTTGGGGGAAATGATAAAGCCTTTCAATAAACAAAAGTAACAGAAGCAGCAAAAAAGTAATGAAAGTAAACAAAAGAACAAATAACCACTGCTCCCCCCCAAAAAGGAAAAAAAAGAATCCATTTGTCATATTCTGAATGGCAAAAAGCCCCAACTTACAAACTTGTGAAATAATACGAATTTACTCTTATTAAGTTCCCAGATTTAATTGTTCCAGTTTCTGCAAGGAATCACATTCAGGGAAACAAAAGTACATGTAACCAGAAGTAATAAAAACCTTTAATTTAGGTCTTTAAAAAAACTTAAAATAGACCCAATTCAAAACACTGTATAATCATTCTTATATACTTCTTTTCTTCCCTCCCAAGATTCTCATACTTCTCACTGGCTCATTTTCTAAGTCTCATGCAAATCATCTCCAAACCCAGCCTTGGAAACCTCTTTTCTTTTCTCTCCTGTTCTCCTTCCTCTCTCCTGCTTTTGTTACATCATCTTTACCTGAGTATAGGCTTTATCTCCATTCTGCATGAAGCCTCTGTCTTTCATTCATTCTCTGCCAGTTCTTCATTTCCACCTTTTAAAACTTCAGGAACTCATTTGGCTGAGACGACCCCTCCTCAGAAGGTGAAGGAAGATGAGGGAAACTTGACTGAATAGACAAAGACTGGTATGGGATGGGGAAGAGGAGGTTGATGTAAGCTCTGGGTAAAAATAATAAGTTTTTACCCTGTTGTCCTCCAAGTGCATGTAATGATGTTGTGCAGGGTAAAAATGTATTGATTTTCTTTGAATCTTTAAATATCTTTCACTTACCATTTTGTAGGCAATGTTGCTCTTCTGTTTTCTGTTTTTATAAATCCCAACTTTCATTTTATTTTCTATTTTGCAAGAAAGCAAACTCCCTGAAGTCTGAATAATAAAATGGAGATATGTGAAAACCAGATGTCTATTAGACTTTTATAATCCCAAGTTATGTGTCATCTAAGAAATGGCATAATTTGTGCAACCTAGGTAACTGTACATTCCTGCCTTCAGAGACCCAGACCTAGAGTGCTACTCTGTTTAAATGCCTAAGTTTTGTGTTACTAATTCTATGCAACTTTATAGAAGTATCTTGAGAAAAATGTAAGTAATGTCCACATCATTTAAATTTCCTTTTGGTGAACATCCTATGGACTTTTCTAAAATATCAGTATCTGTCTATCTATCTGTCTATCTAGATATCTGGATAGCAATATAAAATATCTATCTGCATCTATATCTATATACAAATTATAGTTCTTTATGCACTCTGAGAGCCTCGGTTTTCAGAGTTTGAGACCTTTTACCTTTGGATCTATGTTTCAGGTTGAGCTGGTGTTGGAGATAATATATAGTTAGTTGTGTTTCTCAGTTGGGAATATACTTGCCCCCTACACCTAGGGGAAATTTGGCAATATTTGATTGTTACTATTAGATGAATACTATTGGCATCTAGTGGGCAAAGTCCAAGAATGCTACTAAATACCCTCCAGCGCACAGGACAGCCCCCACAGTAATCATCCCGTCCAAAATGTTGATAGTGACGAGGTTGAGGAACCCTTTATTAAAGATCTGTGACGTGGTCTCACAAATTATGTTTTCTCTATGCCTTTGACAGCAGCCAATATGTGAGACTTCAAACTTGAGGTTTTACTGTTTCACATCCCCTGTGGAGCATTTTTGTCAAATATAATTTTTTAAAAATGTATCTTTTAGGCACAAACTCGTAATGTAATCTAAGAGAGGTTTAGTTAAGAATATTTTAATCAATTATTATGGTTAATGAATGACTGTAATACTTCAAAATTGATAAAAATATTTCTCATGTGTATATTATTTTATATTTCTCCATTTTAAAAGATTACATATTCAAATATATCCTAGTGACGAGAAAAAAAGTGAGTTTCAGATGGTTTCTGAACATACGTAGGTTGACAAAAGATTCTAAAATATTTCAATGAGTTATTATCATATAGACTAGATTTTGACTTTTAACATTCATTTAAATAAAAGTGTAAGATGCCGGAAAGTTAACTTTGCATAATTTATTACGATTTTTAATTGCTTCCAAAAAAAGAGACTTTGAGCTTTTCAGTACTGTAATTGAATCAAGATACTGATAATGAATATATTACCTCCACAAAAGAGTTACTTAGATATTATGTCTTATATATGTAGGTAATAAACAATTTTATTAAGTAAGTCTTCTATGGATGGTTTAATATAGTTTAGTTTATTGAATTATAAATTCATAGTGTTTAATTGAGATTACAGAAGTTTATCTTCTGAATTTAACCTCCCTCCACAAGTGAGTTAGATTTGAAATATTTACCAAGCACCTTGCATGTAAAAAGTGTCGTGTGAGGGCTTCCCTGGTGGCGCAGTGGTTGAGAGTCCGCCTGCCGATGCGGGGGACGCGGGTTCGTGCCCCGGTTTGGGAAGATCCCACATGCCATGGAGCGGCTAGGCCCGTGAGCCATGGCCACTGAGCCTGCGCGTCCGGAGCCTGTGCTCCGCAACAGGAGAGGCCACAGCAGTGAGAGGCCCGCGTACAGCAAAAAAAACAAAAAACAAAAAAATGTGTCATGTGACTTGTATCTTTACAAATAATTTACTTAGTCATTCCCATCAAAGGTCAGAAGTGACTTCCTAAAATGTTTCAATTTAGGTGTTTCAGTTAGGACATGGTAAGCCACAAGAGAATGTCACTCCCATTCTAAGAACAAAAACAAAAACAAAAAACCAGATAGTGTATAAAGTTATAACTTAGGGGGTGCATTAGTGAGCTGAAGCCGCAATGCAACCAAAAGAGCTGACTTTCAAAAGTGATAAGACTCTCCAATGAGAAGAAGCAAAAGCAGATGCTGAGAAAACTCCCCAGCACTAGCACTTCAAGCAACACATAAGTTCAAGAAAATAGCAGCCCAATGATGGAAGAATTTGAAGTTGCTGGAATACTGTACCCAGTAAGAAAGGAAACTGTACCAATAACAAATCCCAAGACCAACGCAACTACTGCTTAGATGGATTCAACCATTCATACAGGTGGCCTAACCAAAGACAAGGCAAACTATTTTTTTCTGCCCATAAATTCTATTTACTTCAGTCTCTACTGCTCTTGTATACATAGTTTCTAACATTTAAACAAAATATAAGATATACCAAAAAATATGACCTATTGTTAGGAAATTGAGCAATCAACCAAACAAAACCAGAGATGCTATTTATTGAGCTTTCTTTGTCAAGCCCTGTGATACATACTTCATGGATATAATACCAGTTAATTCCATTATTCCTGTATTATATCTGCATTATCTATACTATATTTGTTATACATATGAGAAAAATTGATGTAAAAAGATAAATATTCCCAATTCACAGAACTAGTATATGTTGGAACCAGGATTTGGATACGTGCCAGTCTAATTTCAGAGCCCAAATCATAGCCACTATGCTATAGAGCCTTCTGGATATGGCAATATAAGAAGTCATTGCGCACGAATTGGTCTAGTAATTTTTTCTCCATGTACTTTCAGAAAGAGATACAGAAGTGTGCTTTTTTCTAAAATAAAATTAGAAGAGGAAGAATGTTGAAGGACATCCCTCTATGTGCCATTTCATCTGTTTCTATATCAGAAAATAAAATATCTACTTAATGCTAGGAGATTATATTTACATGGGTTAACTTATTAAACAACATTGTTTTAATATTTTGATATAAAGCCTTAATGGTTCTGGCTGTAAAGGAAAATCTTTTATTGGAGAGTCTGCTAGATTACTGGGAACATTGCTTTTAATTGTCATTTCTTTTATTTCCAAGGATGCAGATTCCAGACTGGAAATATTGTTTCAGGTTAACAGGAGGTCTATCAGCCAGGCAGATCTTTCCTCTACAACCTACTATTGAGTTAATGTCGTTCAGAGGGGGTAACCAAAGGACTAGAAGAATTTGAGTATTTATACTTAATTGCTTGGAAGACCTTGCAGAAAGTTTTTTTTTTTTTAGAGAATTGGATCCCATCATGAACTAGGTCATGAGCAGAAGATCTGTGTTGAGTCACGCAGATTTAGTTTTTACATATTTGCTGAGAGGTCTTTGCTAGGTACTAGGTACAAGTGGTACGTGGATACTTTGTTCAGCTTTTCTTTTTTTTTTCTTTTTTTCTGTAATATAGAACCAAGGAAAGGTATAGCAAGTTGCTACTGCTTAAAGCATAGCCAGCTGGTTCTATAGCCCCTCATAGTCATAGTCCTAACTAACCAAAATCTTTGGTAACATAAATCCAAGATTATCATACATTCAAGAAAGTATAATTGTTCTGAGAATTGAGACATAATAGGAAGAGGAAATACAAGGTTGGTGTAATTCACATTGTTAGTTGCCTACAAAATACCCATTGAATACTTTCTACCTTGCCTAGAGTTCCTATTACCAACCCGAGGAAAGTGACGTTGGTTATTTCAAGTCAGTCGTAATAGTTAGACCTGTGATATCCAAAACAATAGCTGCTAGTCATATGTAACTTCTGAGAACTTGAAATGTGACTAGGCCAAATTAAGATACGCTATAATTGTAAAATTCACATCAGATATTGAAGATTTAGTATAAAATAATGTAAAATATTTTGTTACTTTTTTTTTTTTTTTTTTGGTACACGGGCCTCCCACTGCTGTGGCCTCTCCCGTTGTGGAGCACAGGCTCCGGACGCGCAGGCTCAGCAGCCATGGCTCACGGGCCCAGCCGCTCTGTGGCATGTGGGATCTTCCCGGACCGGGGCACGAACCTGTGTCCCCTGCATTGGCAGGCGGACTCTCAACCACTGCACCACCAGGGAAGCCCTTGTTACTATTTTTAATGGTAATATATTGAAATTATATTTGGGTTATATTGGGTTAAATTATATTATTAAAATTGATGTTATCTGTTTCTTTTTACATTTTTAATGCAGGTACTAAAAAAGTAAGGATTACCTGTGTGCCTTGCGTTATATTTTTATTGGCCAGCAGTATGCAGTGGTGAATTCTTTGAGTTTGCATTCACCTTAAATCTTATTTTGACTTCAGTTTTGCATGAAAAAAATGTTAAAAAAAAAAGAGTCCTTCTGGAAGAAAGAAAATGATACCAAGTGGAACTATGAATCTACACAAAGATGAAGAGTTTTAGGAGAGGTAACTATATGGGTAAATATAAACTAATTGATTTCTTATTTTTTTCTTATTTAAATTGGGATATAGTTGCTTTACAATATTGTGTTAGTTTCAGATATACGGCATGGTGATTCAGTATTTTTGCAGATTATATTCCATCATAGGTTTTTACAAGATAATGGGTGTAGTTTCCTATGCTATATAGTAAAACCTTGTGGTTATCAATTTTATATGCAGTAGCTTGTATCTGTTAATCCTGTACCGGTAATTTGTCCCTTCCCACTTCCCCCCACATCCCTGGCTCCTTTGGTAACCACAAGTTTGTTTTCTGTATTTGTGAGTCTGTTTCTGTTTTGCATGTACATTCATTTGTATTATTTTCTAGATTCCACATATAAGTGATATCGTATATTATTTGTCTTTCTCTGACCTATTTCACTAAGTATAATATTCTCCAGGTCCATCCACATTGCTGCAAGTGGCAGAATTTCATTCTTTTTCATGGCTGGATACTATTCCATTGTATATATATACCACCTCTTTATCCAATCATCTGTTGGTAGGCATTTGGGTTGCTTCTATGTCTTGGCTATTGTAAATAGTGCTGCTATGAACATTGGGGTGCATATATCTTTTCAAATTAGTGTTTTTTTCCAGATAGGTACCCAGGAGTGAAATTACTGGATAATATTTATTATTATTATTTTTTTTTTTTTTGCGGTACGCGGGCCTCTCACTGTTGTGACCTCTCCCGTTGTGGAGCACAGGCTCCAGACGCACAGGCTCAGCGGCCATGGCTCACGGGCCCAGCCGCTCCGCGGCATGTGGGATCCTCCCTGACCGGGGCACGAACCCGCGTCCCCTGCATCGGCAGGCGGATTCCCAACCACTGCGCCACCAGGGAAGCCCTATTTATTGTTTTTAAAGAAACTTCCATATTGTTTTCCATAGTGGCTGCATCAATTTACATTCCCACCAGCAGTGTGCAAGAGTTTGCTTTTCTCCACATACTCTTCAACATTTGTTATTTGTAGACTTTTTAATGATGGCCATTCTGACTGGTGTGAAGTGATACCTCACTGTAGTTTTGTTTTGCATTTCTCTAATAGACATGTTGAAGATCCTTTCATGTGCCTATTGGCCATCTGTATTTCTGTGTTGGAAAAATGTCTATTCAAGTCTTCTGCCCATTGTTTTGATTGGATTGTTTTTTGTTTTTGTTTTTTGTAATTGAGTTGTATAAGCTGTTTGTATATTTTGGATGTTAACCCCTTGTTGCTTGTATAATTTGCAAATATTTTCTTCCATTCAGTAGGTTGTCTTTTCATTTTGTTTATGATTTATTTTGTTGTACAAAAGCTTTTAAGTTTAATTAAGTCCCATTTGTTTATTTTTCCTTTTATTTCTTTTGCCTCAGGGGATTGAGCCAAGAACATAGATAAACAAACAATGATCCATCAAAAAAATTGCTAAGTTAAACTTTATCAAAATTAAATACATAAGTTCTTGAAAGACACCTGTTGAAAGAATGAAAAGATGAGCTGCAGACTATGTGAAAATATTTACAAATGTTTGCAAATATTTTTATCTGGCATAGGATTTGTATCCAGAATATATAAGGAATTCTCAAAACTCAATAAGAAACAATCATCTCAGTTAAAATATGTTTAAAGAATTTGAACAGACATATCACCAAAGAAAATAAACAGATGGAAAATAAGCACATGAAAAATTCTCAACGTCATTAACCTGAAAAATGCAAATTAAAGTCATACCTGATAGAATGGAAAAATAAATAGAAAATAAAAACCAATGATACCAAGCGCAGGATGTGGAGCAAATGGTAATTGCATCCATTGGTGGTGAGAATGCAAATGGTACAACCACTTTACAAAAGTATACCATAGAAAGTTACCACACCCTTACCACAACCTACCAATCATGTGGTGAAAACTTATGTTCGCACAAATATCTATATGTAAATCTTTATAAAATTATATTTCATATCCACATAATCATACACACACCTAATCCAAGATTATTCTAAAGGGTTAGACATAAAAGAATGGACTTCTGCTTTCAACCATGATGGAGTAATAAGCGTTGGCTTTCACCTTTCACTGTAAACAGCTAGAAAACTGGAACAATATGTTAAGCAATTATTTTCAGACATTGGAAAATGATGGTAAAAGGCTGTTATCCCTGAGAAAAAGAAAACAAAGATGGTGAGCCCTAATACCATCCAGGATTTCTGCCTGGTGGCAGTTCTCAGACTGTGAGCATGGCCAGAAGATCCAAACAGTGTCTGGTGGCCTTGCTGAGTTAAGAAGCTAGAAATTGGAGTTCAGGGAAGCTGAGACAGCTAGAAATTTCATCAAATAGTTCTAAGATAGAGGGGGTTATACAGAAAAAGCTGCATCTGTTTCCTTTAGTATTTGATGGGAATCAGGATGCACATGAATAGAGCAAAAGTCCACAGGGCTACACAGAAAATGACTGACGTTCATTTTTATGTGAGCAATATCAGTCTTTAGTATCTACCCACTTTTAGATGTACTCCTTGGCCCAGTCTTGGAGATTAGGACCACATGAACACTCCGTACATACTAAAAAGGATTGCCCTCTCTAGCTATTCCCTCATCCCAACCAAATCAAATTTTCTTTTCTCTAAGGGCTCTGATAACACCAGCTGCCCACAAAAAATGCTGCTAAACAAACTTATTTGAATAAAAAATAATTTCTCAGTAGAAATTATAGACAGTTATGAAGATGGTGTAGTATTGGCAAAGAGACAGACATATGAATCAGTGGAACCACATATAGACCTACATGAATATGGCCATTTGATTATTTATGTTTTTAAAGGGTGGTGTGTTCTTTTTTTTTTTTTTTTTTTTTTTTTTTGTATTTATTTGGCTGCGTTGGGTCTTAGTTGTGGCATGCAAACTCTTCGTTGCAGCTCGTGGGCTTCTCTCTAGTTGTGGTGCGCGGGCTTTAGAGGGCATGGGCTCAGAAGTTGCAGCACGTGGGCTTAGTTGGCATGTGGGATCTTAGTTCCCCAACCAGGGATTGAACCCATGTCCCCTGCATTGGAAGGCAGATTCTTAACCACTGGACCACCAGGGAAGTCCCTGGCCATTTGATTATTGACAAAGGTGTAAAGAAATTAAACAAAGATTGGTCTTGTGAAGTACTTTTGGAGCAATTGCTCATCCATTTGCAAACATGTTAACCTAGACCTAAACTTCATTCTTTACTCAAAAATTAATACAAAATAAATCATAGATCTAAATGTAAGACATCTATAAGCTTTTAACAAAATCATAGAAGGAATTTTTTGGTTTGTTTTTTGGGGTTTTTTTTGTGGTACGTGGGCCTCTCACTGTTGTGGCCTCTCCCGTTGCGGAGCACAGGCTCTGGACACTCAGGCTCAGCGGTCATGGCTCACAGGCCCAGCCACTCCATGGCATGTGGGATCTTCCCAGACCAGGGCACGAACCCGTGTCCCCTGCATCAGCAGGCGGACTCTCAACCACTGCGCCACCAGGGAAGCCCCATAGAAGCAATTTTTATCACTTGGGGTTAGGCCGAGAGATTTTAGAAATGGCTCCAAAAGCATGATCCATAAAAGAAAAACAACTGAAAAATTGGACTTTATCTAAATTTAAAACTTTTCTTTGCCAAACTGTCAAGAGAATGAAAAGACAAGCTACAGACTGTGAGAAAATATTTGTAAGTCATATATCTGACAAACAGTTTATATCCAGAAAATATAAAGAATTCCTAGAACTCGATAATAAGAGCACAAACGACTCAATTAAAAATTAGGCAAAGACTTGAACAAACACTTCACCAAAGAGGATATAAATATGGAAAATAAGTGCATAAAATACCTTCATCTTTATTATCCAATAAGAAAATTCAAATTAAAACCACTACACAACTATTGAAGTGGCTAAAATTAAAAAATAAATAATGATAGTATAAAGTGTGGTGATGATGTAGAACAACTACAGTTCTCATACATTGCTGGTGAGAATGCAAAATGGTACAGCTGCTTGGAAAACAGATGGGCAGTGTCTAATGAAGTTAAACATATATCTACCATATGAGTTAGCAATACCACTTTTGGATATTTTCCATAGAGAAGGGAAAACTGACATTCACAAAAAAACCTGTATGCAAATATTGATAATAACTTTATCTGTGATGGTCAAACCCCTGCTGGGGGTCAGGGACAGCAGCACTGGGTGAGGCTGGGCAGAGAGTGGCCAAGACGTGTTTCAGAGAGGAGGAGACACCCCAGGGAGGTAGGATCAAGAGTGAGCCAAGGCTCCATGCCCCTAGCACAGGTTCCATTGTACCATTGAACTTCTCTTTCAAAATGCAAATTCAAAGATATAATTATTAAGATTTTAAAAACGAATTTAATATTGTGACTGCAGAGCCCCAAGCATGGGGCTACCTTCTGAGTGTGAGGCCTGTGTGTCTGTACCGGTCACACACCAATGAAGCCAGTCTTTATTCCAAGTTATACTCCTAAAAAGGAATATACATATGTCTCCCTATGTCCATTTGTCCTTTCCATTGGATAAGATATGAAGAAAGCTTGAGCAACAACCTTGACCCCAAAACAGGGACCCCCCTGTTGAAGATGTAGAGCTCTCCTATTATTAGAAGATCTCTTGTCTGTGGATGTTATATGAAAGATAAATAAACTTCTGCATTGTTTCAGTCTCCATATTATTGAATATTTTGTGATAGCAGCTCAACTTGTTCTTAACTAACACATTTATTTTTCCTGGCTTATCTTGGTAAGACCCAGTCCCATTGAGAATATGCAAGGTGTCCTGGAAGGTATGATGGGAGAAAATGAGAGAGGTGTCTCTCATGTTGAAAATACAGAGACTTGGGGAGAGAAAAAATTGGTATATAAGCTATAAAATTAGCAAATTTTTGTTACAGCTCCCTGCTGACAGCACACTAGGTACTGAGAAAGGCACTGAAACAGCAGAAATGGCAAAACTGAAGGG